AGGGCAAGAGCAATGCTACTTCCCTGGTACCGAAGAAGGCAGCAGCCACAGCCAAGGCTCCTAAAGGGGCGGCTGCCCAGGGGCCTGGGAAGGAGCCAAAAGCCAAGGCAACCGCTCAGCCCAAGAGTAAGGGCACCACTGGACCCCCCCGAGCTCCCACATACCTGGTCAAGAATATCACAGCTCCCAAGGCCCCGAGAAGGCCTGGGCTGCCCGCCAAGGCCCCACCATCAAAGGTGTCGGTCAAAGAGGAAAGAGCTGAGAGCTAGACGCTGGAGCAGGGAGGCTGAGATTCACCTGAATTTTTTATTCCCCAATAAACCGTTATTCTATTTAATTGCCAAAAAAAAAAAAATCAGAAATGGTTTGTTTCAGGGTTGTATCTTCTCATCATACTTCTGCAATCTGTATGCAGAGCGAATCATTAAAGATGCCGGTTTATATGAAGAAGAGTGTGGCATCAGGAGCAGGGAAGGCTTATTCGCAACTTGCTGTGTACAGGCAACACAATCTTGATTGCTGAAAGTGAGGAGGAATCGATGCAATTGATGATGAAGATCAAGGACTATGCCCTCAGTATGGATTACAACTCAATGTAAGGAAGACCCGAATCCTCACAACTAGACCAATAAGAACATCATGAAGAATGGAGAAAAGTTTGAAGTGGTCAAGGATTTTGTCTTACTCGGTTCCATAATCAATGTTCATGGAAGCAGCAGTCAAGAACTCAAAAAAGATGTATTGCATTAGGTAAATCTGCTGCACAAGATCTTTTGTGAGTATTTAAGAGTGAGGATGTTAATTTGAGGACTAAGGTATGCCTCACCCAAGACATTGTATTTTCTATTATGTAATATGCGTGTGGAAGTTGGAGATTGACTAAAGAAGAATATAGAAGAATTGATGCCTTTGAATTGTGGTGTTGGAGAAGAATATTGAAAGTACCATGGACTGCTAAAAGGACAAACTGATCTGTATTGGAAGACGTAAGGAGGTGGCAGTACTCCTAAGAGACAAGGATGGCAAGAATTTGTCATGCATACTTTGGGTATGTGGTCAGGAAAGACCGGTCCCTGGAGAAAGGTAACATGTTTATAAAGTGGAAGGGCAGCAAAGAAGAGGAAAGCACTCCAAGAGATGGATTGATGCAGTGACTGTGCCAATGGGCTCAGACATAAGAACTATTGTGAGGATGGCACAGGACTGTGCAATGTTTCATTCTGTTGTGTATTGAGTCAGAGGGGACCAGATTGCACCTCCCAACAACAACATTCATTAGCTAGCATTCACACGCACATGAATCTACTGGAAAGTCCTGAGTGGAAACAACCTGGTCTTGAAAATGAAATATTTTCTTTATAACAATTTAAAGATATATTTTACAGCAAATTTGTTAAATGCAATATGTCATTTAATTTCCTGACTGCTATTAAATATGAAATTAAATAAAGTAAAATCTTTAACAACTTCAATATTTTTTCTGCTTATTAATCTAGTTGCAAAGCTTTTTTGGTTTGTGCTCTCTTTGTTGAATTTTAATCTAATAAAATATTTTGCTCTTTGATCATCAGAGAGTGAATCATATTTCATTCATATTCAGCAAGTAACATTATGCCATTTGCATATCGCAGGTTGTTCATAGATCTTCAATCCTCAAGTCTCCTTCTTCATACAGTATAGCATCTTGAAATATTTGTTCAACACACAGATTGAGTAAGTATATTAAAAGTATACATCCCTGATTCACAGTTTTCTTCATTTTAAACCATTCAATGTCCCACTGTTCTAGTTAATGACTACCTCTTTGGTCAATGTACAGGTTCTGCATGAACACATGCAAGTGTTCTACAATTACCATTCTTTGCAATATTATCCATAACGTATTATGATCCACATAATTGGATTCATTTGCATAGTCAATAAAATGTGTTTATGGTATTATCTTTTTTTCAGGAAAGACCCACCTGATATAAGCAATGATAACTGCTTATCCTTTTCTACAGTTGGCTTGACTTTCTCAGTTACCAGTCAATATACTGCTACAACCACTTGTTAATCATCTGCAGTGAAAATCTACTTGCATGTGGCATTAATGATATGTTTCAATAATTTCCACATTCTGTTTGATCTGTTGTATCATTCTCTTCCAGCATTCTTGTCCACCTTTCCAGGTAGCTGTCTTCCAAATTCTGAGTATATCTCTAGGTAGCTTTGAGAAAGAAGAGGAAAAAAAGTATCCTACTGTTATTTATTTTCACATGTTTACTTTCTTTAAAATGATCATAATCTTTAAATTTACCACTATTTGTCTGTGTTTTAAATTTTATTACATATTTGTCCACACAGACATTCACCTGAGGAACACTGGTGGCCAATCTGAGGGAGAATAAGATTTTCTGTTCCCATAAATATCTAGGCCATCAAAAATTCCAAAGGGAACTGCTCTACTCTGCTCAACAAGGTTACTATGAGTCAGAATTGAGTCAATGACAGTGAGTTTGGGGCTGAAGCTACAAATTATCAAGAGCAAATTATCTAATTATTTTATAAATATTTGAGCTGGTCCTAGTATAAAGTGAACATGATGTTCAGTAATTTTTGCTTAATTAACTAGTAAAGTCCAGTGGCATGCATTTTTATATTGCCTTTAAATATCAAAACTAAATTCTAGAAAATTGTTAAATAGTTTTAGCATAAGGAAAAATCATATTTTTATTAAGATTATGATACTAAGGGTTTGAATCTTGTGGAAGTTCATGTCAACTGAAGATATATAAAAGTGTAGGGGTGTTACTCAATCTATCAATCAGTTTGAATGGTGACTCCTGGTGGTCCCTTGATGGTGACTCCCTGTGGGCGTAACCTTCTCATAAGGAGGACCCTGGAAACCTCACCTTCTCTCTCTACCTTCACCTTCCTGCTAGTCGACCCTGGTTTCTGCCAGAGTCCTGTAGCTGCATCCACTGCCATTGTATTTACCAGAGATTGCACCCATTGGCCTGTGATATTCTGCATCATTGAATATGGCTTCATGAGTCTGAAGAGGGACTTAAGGATTAGTTTTAGACTCAGGGACTTGAGTTGGACTGAGCTGGGATGTTTGCCTTATATAAAATTACTTCTTGAAATAAAGTTCTCTTTTATGCATATGTGAGTGTCACTGCATTTGTTTCGCTAGTCAATCCGTCCTCCTAACACAAATTCCATACTAAACAAAGGTCCAGAATATGGTTTCTCTACTTGCCAATTTGAAATGGAACATTTTGAAAATACAATTGAATATAACTCAATATGATAGAGTATAACTCAAAAATTTGACAATTTCAAATGTATTGGGGCATTTTAAACATATTAAGCCATGTGAAATATGTACAGACACTTTACATGCAAATATATAAATTTTCAAATATAGAACACAAGAGCTTCTGCAACTGAGGAAATGTGGTAGATAATATAAAGCGGGTGGTAATGTCAAATAACCAGTAAATGCCATAGAAAATTTGACATTTAAATAAAGCTCAATTTTGTGTGAGCACTTAGTATGGGAGATATCCCATCTAAGAGATTGGTCTGCTTCATAACTGTCAGAATTCTTTAGGGATACTTTCTAGTCTCCCTGCTCTTTATTGTCACAATCTCTTCATTTGTTTAACTTGTCTACTCGCTTCATCGATCCATATAAAGTCTAAGTTAAAAACAATTTAGTTTTCTAACCTAAAGGTTTGATTTTAGATTTAGTTCTTATCAATTGTCTGATGGATATTCAATGGAATACTGTATGTAAAGATTACACTGAACATGCTCCAACAAGATAGCATTGAACAAATCCTATAGGGCAAAGAAGAATGACACCTTATGATTTCCAAGGTTGTAAATCTTTATGGGAGTAGAACGTCTCATCTCTCTTCTATGGAGGGACTGGTGGATTCGAATTGCTGAGGTTGTGGTTGGCAGTCCAATGTGTAATCCACTAAGCCACTAGGATTCCTTCCCAGCTTCTCATATGTTCCAAAATGAATTCTACTGCTTGTCCTAATATTCTCTCTTTCTAGTGTAATATGACTATATGAAAATTTTAAAATTTCCTAGTAAATAAAAGTTTTCATACACTCTCTTCTTCCATTTTTAAAAAATTGAAAATTCAGTGAATTATATTATTCAATATAATTCCTCCACCTATGCCTAATTTATGTTGCTAATATCTTATTTAAATCCTGGCCCTCTCTTGATTCCTTGAAATATGTTAGCCCTTTTAATATCAATATAAGGCTGCCTTCAAACATGTGGCTGTCAGTTGGCATCAAGTCAGTCCTAACTCTTAATCACCCTTATGTGTAACAGAATGAAAGACCACCCAGTCCTGTACAATCTTCAGAATTGTTAATGTTTAAAATATTATTAACATAAAAGTATTAATTCATGGTGTTGTTTGAGCAAACAAAACCATAGACAGGGGAACAACTAGGGAATTAAAATCAACAACGAGGATGATGCAACAACTCCTGGGGGAGTTGGAGCAATAGCAATCTAGCTGAGAGGAATTAGGAAGAGACAGAAGAAGGGCGAGCATGATTGTGGGAAAGGAGGAAGGTACAAAGAAACAGGAAAGATCTTGAAAGCAAAGCTATGGAGAGAGGTATAAACACAGGTGTGCACTTATGTAAATATATTAATCATAAAAGTAGAGGTATTGGCCTGTGTTCATATATTTATATGATAAAACATTGAGGACATGGACAGACTTTGGGCCTCTGCTCACGTCCTCCCTCAACACAAGAACACTTTGTTCTAACAACCTGACATTCTGTGATGTTCACCCTTCCGGCATGACCACTAAATACAAAATGGGTGCACAAGCAAATGTGAAGAAAGCTGATGGTGCCCAGCTATCAAAAGATATAGCATCTGGGGTCTTAAAGGCTTGAAGTCAAACAAGAGGCCATCTATCTGAGAAGTAACCAAGCCCCCATGGAAGTAGCACACCAGCCTGTGTGATCACGAGGTGCCAAAGGGATCAGTTATCAAGTATCAGAATACCCCAAACAAATGAAAAAAACAAACAAAATATATTGTTGAGAATGAGGGCGGTCAGAGCAGAGACCCAAAACCCATCTGTAGACCATGGGACATCCCCTTACAGAAGGGTCACAAGTAAGCGATGAGTAAACCAGGGTGAAGTATAGCATCAATGAAACACACAATATTCCTCTGGTTCCTTGAGACTTCCCCACCGCTCATTATCATGACCCCAATCCTGCCTTTCACTTTG